CATTTTCCTGGATTCTCCAGTGATTATACTAAAGCCAGGTACAGTTCCAATAAAGTTAACATATAAAGCTTATGGTGTGCCAGGCACCCTTCTGAGGGCTACTCAGAGATCAGCTCATTTGATCCCACACAAGACCTGAGACTCGGATATTATCATGTCCCTATTTGTAGATGAGGAGACAGGAATGGGCTCTGGGGGCATCTGAACAGTGGTCAGGTGGCCAGGGGCATAGGCTGGCCCAGGTAGCTGGACAAAGGCAAGGGGTCTGATCCCAAGGATCCCAAATATCTCGGAGCTGGTAGGACCTGGGGTTTGGATACTGACCTTTGACACAATGCAGGAAGAGTCTGAGTGATTCAGAGATCATGTTGGTCCCAGAAGGAAAATAAGGAGAATAAGCCTGGCCACCTGGATAGGGGTAGGTGGTTGGGCCTCAGAGAGGTTTGCCTGAGCAAGAGTGGCTCAGGTCTGGGCAGGCTACTATCCCCAGGAGCACCCTCCCTGCCCGTCGGGTCCCTCTGCCCCTCCCTCCTGCACATGTCACACTGACCACATCTGTAGACATCTTGAGTTGTAGCTGCAGATGGGGACCAGTGGCTTCCATTTTCATTTTAGCCATTTTGTCTCCTGCACCCTCTCCCTTCATACAGTCTAGTCAGAATAGCACTTCTAGGGCACAGGTTCTCAGTCCAAGCTGTGGGAAAGCTCCCCTTATCCAAGAGAGTTTAAAAGTAGTGACTTGTGGCGGGCGCCTGTAGTCCCAGCTACTCGGGAGGCTGAGGCAGGAGAATGGCGTAAACCCAGGAGGTGGAGCTTGCAGTGAGCTGAGATCCGGCCACTGCACTCCAGCCTGGGCGACAGAGCGAGACTCCGTCTCAAAAAAAAAAAAAAAAAAAAAGTAGTGACTTGGGTTTTTACGAGTGTTTTGTTTAGTAAGGGCTTGTGGGGAGGAACCATGCTAAGCCATAACCAATGAGGAGAAGCAAGACAGCCTGTCTGCCCCCAGGAGCCGGTCCTCTGCTCTTCTGCAGTCAGGTCACTGATTGGACGCTCTGGTCATTCCAGTGGAAGAAGAATGTAACCTGCATGGTAATGTGACAACTGTTTCCTCCCTGACCCCAAAGGAGCTGGCTCTAGAAGGTTGGGATCAGTCCTGAATATACTTTATGTGTTAGATTTACATATATATATATATATATATATATATAAAATACAAAACAATAACCCTTCCAGGGTTTCTCGTGGCAGTTGAAATAGTCCCACATGTGGTCATCAGAAAATAAGCCATTCCTCATACCAATATGGGGTAAACTCCTTGACCTCTGAGGGGCAGGAGTGCTTCCTGCTGTGTGTTTTAGAATCCCTCCCTGCTCTGTTTCGTGGCAGTGAAATGCCTCGTGGCCCTGTCTAAGTGTGTCTTTCACGGATTTTTGAATCATGTTCTAGTTGCTTGGACCTGCCACATGGGCCCAGTGTTCATTTGAGCATAACTGTACTAAATCCTTTTTCCAGATCAGCATAATAAAGGAGTGATGTACAATTTAAAAAAAAAAAAGAGTGGTTCAGGCCTATGTGGACTCAGGCTGAGGGTCCCAGCATTAAGACAGATGCTTAGCCTGGAGGGACACACGCAGCCACACTGGAAGCTGGGCTTGGGAATGGCTTGGAAGCAGCCCTCTTCTGCTGTCTTGAGTTGCTTTTTTGTTTTTGCTTTTATTTTTAGAGAAAATCCCATTTAGCCATCAGCTGCACTAACACTAGCAGTAGTTCGGGTCTCCCCAAAGAAGGGCTGGACCTATTCTCTCTCTTTGGGTCTGCCCAGTTTCTATTTCTTGGTCTTTAAGTCACTGAACAAATAGCCTCCTTGTCTCATCAACTTTTCCCTGTAGCAGATATCCTTGGGAAGTACTCCCATGCTAGTGTCCCAGGAAAATTCACTCAGAGTAGAGAAAGCTCAGGCCAGGCATATCCCACTTCCCTCTAAAGTACTCTCTGTCTTGAGTCCTTGTTCATGTCTCTGGCCATGGGAGCTGAAGCCAGGAGCTGGAAGTTGGTCAGGGAGGAGCACATAGGTGATCCTAGCGACTTTTTTGTTTTTCTGTGTTGATTGTAAGGATGTAGTCAGTGCTGCAGTCTGCATCAGGCCTCCTACAGGGAACTCTCAGCCCCAAAGGGAGAGTACACACCTGTTTCCATGGCCCATTTCTACCCCACACCACACTCTCGCCCTGAAGCTACTCAGGCAGGTGATTGGGGGTCCTGGACTAAGCCAGGCTGGAGATGAGAAAGTACACTTCCTTACTGTGTGGCCTTGGATATGTCACTTCCTCTCTGATTACCTCAGAGGAGACTGAGAAGAGACTGAGGCCATCAAAGAGGAAGTGACATGTCCAAGGCCACACAGTAAGGGAGTGTACTTCTCTTCTCTTGTTTTTATTGACTTTCTTAGAATTTTTTCTTTTTATTTGTAGTTGACACATAATAATTGTACATATGGAATACAGAGTGATATTTCAATATGGGTACACAGTGTGCAGTGATCAAATCAGGGCAATTCGCTTATCTATTACCTCAAACATTTACCATTTCTTTGTGTTGTGAACATTCAAAATCCTCTGTCCTAGCTTTTGGGGAATATAAGGTAAATTATAGTTAACCACAGTCACCCTGCAGTGTTGCAGAAAACCAGAATCTATTCTTTCTGTCCAGCTTTAATTTTGTATTTGTTAACCAACCTCTCCCCATTTTCCCCTCCATGCTACCCTTCCCAGCCTCTAAATACCCATGGTTCTACTTGTGTGGCCTCCATTTCTTCAGCTATAAAACCAGAGAGATTGGACTGCAGCTTCTAAATGGGCCAGTCCCCTATGCGTCACCGGCCACTCTCCAGCATAGCCTGCCTGTTACCTGGAGAGCAGTAATCAGCCCAGAAATCTTGTTGACAAAGCTGAGGGCAGAGTTTCCACTGGAAAAAAGCAGCTTGCGGGAAAAATTGTTGATAAGAAGTGGAAATCTATCTAAGTAAGCCGTGTATCTCCTGCCCCACTGCCTGAGGCCTCATGGGCTCCCTGCTCTGAGTCCTGTCACGCTCCAAGAAGCTGCTAGAGCTCCCCCAGAGCGGCATTGGTGAATGAGAGTGTGTAGCCTGGTTTCCATGGAGTGACCCACGAGCCCTGTGATATGGTTTGGCTGTGTCCCCACCGAATCTCAACTTGAATTGTATCTCAGAATTCCCACGTGTTGTGGGAGGGACCCAGTGGGAGGTAATTAAATCATGGGGGCCCCTCTTCCCACGCTATTCTCGTGATAGTGAATAAACCTTACGAGATCTGATGGGTTTTAGCAGGGGTTTCCACTTTTGCTTCTTCCTCATTTTTCCCTTGCCACCGCCATGTAAGAAGTACCTTTCACCGTATTAATGAGGCCTTCCCAGCCATGTGGAACTGTAATTCTATTTAAACCTCTTTTTCTTCCCAGTCCACATATGTCTTTATCAGCAGCTTGAAAACGGACTGATATATCCTGATACTGTAGGGGGTGTCAGTCCATGGCTTTTAGCAGATTCTCAAAAGGTGATGCATAGTCCCAAAAGGGTTAATGAAGAACAAGCTTCAGGGGTAAACTCCTTCCTGCAACTCCGGTGTCATCAGCCACTGAATTTCCCATCATTCAGTCAGTCATGACTGGTGAGCCTCTTAAACGTTCTTAGAGGTGTTTAGAGCTGTGTTTCTGGGACCCAGCCTCCTCTGGAAAGAGCCAAGTGGCAGACAGAGGAGGCGGCAGCCCTGCTGGGAGCACATCCAGCACTCACACTGCTCCACGGGCCCTTTCCGTGGAACAGACGCTGTTCTCTCCAGGTGCAGGCCACAAAGGCAGACGCTGTCTGTGCTACCACCTTATTCACTCTTCTTATGGGGATCATGATCAAACCTGGGAAGTTGACGGGGTCTAAATCAAAATTAAGTGTAACCCAGGCTATCTTCTGCAGCTTCTCCCCTGCAACCTCACTCACGACATAAGCATTGTAGAGTGTTCTATTTTTATGATAATTTTCTGACTGATGGAAGTGAAGTGTCTTAGGGCTTAGTGCCATAGAAAAGTCTAAGAGTCTTAGAAAAAGGGATCCTTTTTCTTTTTAATTTTTCTTTTCTTCTTTTTTTTTTTTTTTTTTTGAGATGGAGTTTCACTTTTGTCACCTAGGCTGGAGTGCAACGGTGCGATCTCAGCTCACTGCAACCTCTGCCTCCCTGGTTCAAGAGATTCTCCCTCCTCAGCCTCCTGAGCAGCTGGGATTACAGGCACACACCACCATCGCTGGCTAGTTTTTGTATTTTTTTTTTTAGTAGAGATGGGGTTTCGCCATGTTAGCCAGGCTGGTCTCGAACTCCTGACCTCAAGAGATCCACCAGCCTGGGCCTCCCGAAGTGCTGGGATTACAGGCATGAGCCACCGCGCCTGGCCAGGGCTCATTTTACTAATGTGCATATGGCACCATATGGTGGCCCCCTAATCCCTCCTCTAGAGCTCCTGTGTGAATGGCCTAGTAGGTTTGTCTAACATGGCTGCAAAGAGCTGTCTAGGAGCAGCCATTGAAAGCTATGGGGTCTGTTCCATCTGTGCATGATACAGAGCTTTCTAAGCATAGAGTCATCCAAAGAGAGTGGATTGCCATGGGAGATGGTTCTCCACTAGGAAAATTATTCAAACGTGGGCTAGAAAGCCATTTGGCTAGAATATTATAGAAGAAATTTAAGATGATTGGACTAGGTGGTGCTGTTGCCTTCCAATCTTGAGATTTTCTGAGCTGAATGTTATCTATTGGGTTTTACTGTGGACATTGTGGTCTGTAGAAAATAATTCTAACTATTCTTACCCATGTTTAAAATGTGTGTGTATGAAGGAGCTGGGGAGACAGTCGGGGCAGGAAGTAGTTTGGATATGTTCTATTTACACAGTAAACCCTCTCCTCTCCCCCTTATTATCACTCTGTTCCCTGTCAGCTTCTTCTGGGAGATACTGAGACTGTTCTGGACAAAGAAAATGGGTACATGTTGGGGATGGTGGAGAAGGAAGAGAGGGTATCACCTTAGCTGGCCATGATATTGCTGTGCCTGAGTTATGCACCAGGCAAAAAGAGATGACAAATAAAAAGTCAGGTAGGTCATGCAGTGCTCAACACTCGATGGGGCAGAGTTTAAGGGATGATGAAACAAAAAATAGCAAGACAAGGGTGTGTGCGCACAAGTACATGTGCAGTTGTGGCTGGCGGACACACAGGTATATCTTCTCCTAGAAAAGCCCAACACGTGGTTGATTGTGTGTGTGGCAACTTTAGGAAGAAGAAGAATTGTCTCCCACTCTGTGGGGAAATAGCTTAGCTTTCCATTTCTTTCTAGAAGGAGTGGGAACTTTGAAACAATGTCAACAATTAGAAAGCCCAGTTTAGATCACCCCAGTCCCAAACTGGCAGAGAGAGAACCCCTCTCCTGGGGTTGATTAGGGGCCACATCTTTTGTGCCCTTCCTGCTCATTGGCATCTGAGGATGAGTGATTCTCACTCACTGAGGCATGAATGTTGGGGTTCATCTGGCTAGTGAGGGATTAGGGAGAAAGCTTCATCTCATTTAAGGCCTTCTTGCCTGGCGTGGCTTACACCTGTCACCCCAGCTACTGGAGAGTCTGAGGTGGAAGATTGCTTGAGCCTAGGAATTAGAGGCTGCAGTGAGCTGTGATTGTGCAACTGCACTCTAGCTTGGGTAACAGAGGAGACCTTGTCTCTTAAAAAGAAAAAAAAAAATAGTGCTTCTCATGATGGGAATTCCAGTCTTGGAGTTGCATGCTCTCAGAGCTAGAAAAGACATTAGTGGTCAGACTTCTTGTCCACTCCACGGTCCTTCTCAGAGTCACAGCTTTACCACCCTGAGGAGGGTCCAGTCAATGCGGAGTTAAACTGAGCCATGAGGGACTTTGATTTTTGCCTTCCCAGGGCTCTGCCCAGGACACCTGGCAGTCATCACCCTGCAAGACTGCCGTAGGCGAGACTGCCCTGGGGATGCCCATTTAACAGAAGCTGTCGCAAGATGGGGCCGCCTGTGGTGTGGGCTGACAGGCAGATGTGTAGGAGAGGCAATGGTTGTGGCTTCAGTGACTGGAAGGAAATATGTTATCTTCTCATTTCTTGCTAAGGCAAGGTCAGGCCTGGGGTCAGGGTCAGGCAGGGTTTTGATGTGGGATGCAGGCCCTGGAGGGATGGAAGCCAGGGGCTTTCTACACAGTCGAGCTCCTCCCGCTCTGCTTCTCTGAGGCTCAGTGCTGGGGGTTTGGTATTTCTAAAGCAGGGTCAGGAGAGGGTTGCTCTGGGGACGGTCCCAGCAAAAGCAGTGGGATGTTCTGTGTACTCAGAACATGAATTGCTGGTGGGGTGGGCGTGTGACGTGGCAGAGAGCAGGTATTAAGCAGTTTTTCCACCTGTCCTCTTTTCCACCTTGTGTCTTTGCCCCACTTTCCTATAGGTTTGCACTTGGACTCAGAGGCCGAATCTAGGATATCTCTCCTAAAAGGACCATCCAGTACTGGAAAGTCGATTGAGGAGGAGAGGCTCATCTATTGGATGGGATTTTCCCAGAGGAGAGGGGCTGGGTGACAGAAAGTGGATGGATCCTAGCTGACGTCTGCCATCCCTTGGCCTGGGATCCTTGGAAGGACAAGAACAATCCCCGGGTTCTTCCCTCATGACCTGGGGATTGTTCTCTGCATTGCTCCCGACTTAGTGGAAGTGAAAGGTGTCCAGGGCTTAGGGATGCAGAAATGACTCAGAGCTAAGCTACCTAGATTCAAATCCAGCTCCAGAGACGATCACCTTCCCTGCACCTCAGTTTCCACCCCTAACCTGGGCAGTAAAGTATCCACTGGAGGAGGCTGTTGTGAGAGTGAAGTAAGTGAGTACACAGAAAAGCCATGGAGCAGGGCCCAGTGCAGAGCAGTAGGCATCTGCTCTGATGATTGTCATTGGAAAAGGACCCAGCTGGGCACTACAATCAGCCATCCTTGTTTGGCCCCAGGCACCACCGCCTGCCTGGCTGTGGGACCCTGGGCAAGTCACTCAGAGTGCTCTGAACTTTGGCTTTGCTACCTGTAAAGTAGGACTGCTCCCTGCCTCACAGAACTGTTGTGAGGGCTAAATGAAATAATATATGCAGAGCTTAGCAGGCCTGGCATGTAGTAAATACTCCAGAAACATTTTTTTAAGTTCCAGGGTGGTGGTCTACCTGGATGTCACCTCTGATCTCTGAAAACCACAGGCATTGAGGATAGGAAAGCAGTGCTCCTTTCTGCGTCCACCTTGTCCCCACCTCACCTTCCTGCGCACCAGGAAAGGAGCCTGAGGAGTCAATAAGGCCAGAGGGGGAACCCCGCAGGGCGTGGTCAGCTGGGAAGGACTTGGGCAGTAGGAGCAGTGCAGGCAAAGGAGGGCCTGGCTCGGGAGTACGTGGCAGCACGCCTGTCCTCAGCAGACACCTCCCACTGCCTATGCCCCTGGTGGGGGCCAGCCCAGCTTAGGTTATCTCGGCTCATTGTCCACTGGTGTTTTCCTCGATGCTCCCTGGGAACTGGTAGTGCTGGAAGGGGTGGCAAGTGGCCTCAGCCGGCTCACAGTTCTGGGACTGGGCCCAGGTCTTGAAAGCCCCTTGAGCTCTCCTCCTTCCCTGCTTAGGCTACTGGAAGACAGAGGTCTCCAAAGAAAAACAAAAGCTGGGGTCTAGACATACCCCATCTGGGGTCTGACTTAAAGGCCTTTGCCAGGGTCACCTCCTGTTGGCATCAGAGAAGGAAACTCTGTGTGTGTGTGTGTGTGTGTGTGTCTGTCTGTCTGTCTGTCTACGTCTGCAGGTGGACAAGCAGGGCTGGGTGTGAGTGGAAGTGGAAAGGGTACAATTCTGCCCGTCCCTCGTTGCTGGCCCCCCCTGCCAGCTGCTCAGATCCAGAGTCTGGGCACCAGAGTCAGCTCTACTGCAGCTGGGGGTGTTGAGCGTGTCTGGGGAAGAGCTAAAAGTGGCAGAAAACATCCTGTTTGAAAGCAATACATTGCTGTATTTAACCCCTGAAGCACCTGCTCCGCCTACACCCAGTCTCCACAGACAGGAGATCTCAGACACCTGCCTTTGAAGCTGTCCCAAGAGGCCAAGGCTGTGGGCTGCCATCCAAGCCCGCCCCATTCCCAGCTCCTGTGCGGCTCCTCCACTGCCCTGCCTCGGGCAGCTGTCTTCCCGCTCTTAGCAGTGGGCCACGTGGCCCAGTTGCTCTGCTTCCTGAGCTGCCTACAATCTGGAGATGGAGGGGGTAGTGTGGGTCTCCCTAAGGAAAAGGCCCTTCTTCCCTCCTGACAGCCTGGGCTGTGAGAGGAGGAGGAGTGCCTAGGCGGGAGGTTGTTTCCTTCTGCCCGGGGCTGGTTGCCGCCACCCCTTCCCACGGCTCCTGCTACTCCCTGCCTCGAGGGAGGGCCATCCTGGCTGCTGCCCAGCCTCCACCCCCACACCCCTGCCAGCGATGACATGGCATGCCTGCCCCCAACAAGCCACTTCTGTTTGCAGTCCCTGATCTGGGGACTAAAGTCCCTGGAAAGATCCTCTCGTGCCCACTTCCTTAGAGACTGGTGAGGCGGTCCATGCTCCGCTTTAGATAAAAGGTTTCCCCTTCTTCATTTCAGAAGGCTTTGGGTCTGAAGTATCTGTGAGACCTCATAGAAGAGCACCCCTGGGCTCCACTTACATGCCCTGTGCTCCTTCAGGTAGGTGTTTCCTCATCAGCCACAACTTCCCTGGCTTTCTGTTTTCAAGGGGCAAGGGTGGGCCATAAGAAGGTGGTGGGCAGGGGAAGGAAGGGATACCACCCAGGATCTTGCAAGGTGGGTCCCGGACCAGCAGAGTCTGCAGCTGAGATGCATGAGTGTGTGGGGTGCGGGTGGGAGTTCAGAGAAAGGCTCAGGAGATGGCGCTTGCTGACTCCGGCTATGACCCTGGCTGGGCTCTCCTGTGCGTCTGATATTTCCTATTCAGCCCCATCTCCTCTTTCTCTTTCCTGCCTTCTGTAGTCTCTGCCTGTCATTCCTGGGACTTTCAGCTTTCAAGCCGCAGAGGCTTGGGCATCTTCTCCACATGTGGACTCTGGTCCTGGGCACTGGCTTCTTGATAGCAGCAAATAACCTTAAGCAGGGTTGGGTCTTCTGTCAGCTCCCCTGAAATGGGCCTCTGGCTGCTCAATCCAGTCTTTCCAGCCTTCACCCCCAGCATGGAGACTTCCTGATGTCAGGGCAGCACCCCACCCCATTGCAGGACTGCCCTGTTGCTGTGCTGTGGTAGTATGTTGTTCCAACTCGCTTGTATCATAGCATGTGATGCTGAACATGTGTTGAACTGATTTAACAGATATTCCTTCCTACCCCCCATTTGATTTCTCTATTTTCCACGAAATCCACCGGATACTTGGGAGCCTGGATGACCCAGACTCTGTAGCAACACCATGATGACTCGGAGCTGCAGCATCTCAGCTGACCCGGGGTTAAGCCACAAGCATCCTGGATGGTTTCCCCCTATTACTCCACAATGATATTGGGCCTCCGGGATGCTGGCAACATCTTGACTGTGTGCTATGTTCTAAACCCTGCAGGCGTCAGCTTGGACTTGGGATGGTCTTTCGGGACAATGTTGATAGACCCACAAGCACTTTTCTATTTCTAATTGTTTTTAAATTATGAAATGTTTATATATTCAGAAGGGCATGCAAACACAGATGTACAAAACATAGATGTAGTGTTTTGATAATAGTAATAATAAGAAGATACCATATGCTCACTACTCAAAGAAATAGAATACTGCTACTACATAATGCATACCCCTCCCCAATCTTATCTCTCCAAAGGTTTCTGTTAATCATTCCTTTGTTCTTTTTTTCTGAAATTTTCTTATAGGTTAAGGGGGTGCCTGTGCAGGTTTGTTACAAAGGTATATTGCATGATCCTGAGATTTTGAGTATGAATGGTCTCCCAGGTTGAGAGCATAGTACCCAATAGGTTGTTTTTCAGCCCCTGCCCCTGTCCACTTGTATTCCCAGTGTCCATTGTTCTCATCTTTATGTCCATATGTACATGATGTTTAGCTCCCACTTATAAGTGAGAACATGGGCTATTTGGTTTTCTGTTTCTGGCTTAGTTTCCTTAGGATAATGGTCTCCAGCTGTATCCATGTTGCTGCAAAGGACAAAGGACTCGATTTTGTTCTTTTTTATGGTTGCGTAGCATTTCAGTGTGTGTGTGGGTATGTGTGTATACATGTATATGTGTGTGTATGTATATATATACGCACATATATACATATATATTACATATACATATATATGTACATATACATATACACACACATATATATACACACACACACACACACACACACACACACACACATATATACTGCATTTTCTTTATCAGTCCAGAGTTGATGGGCACCTGGGTTGATTCCATGTCTTTGCTATCACTACAATGATCTTTGTTCTTTTTCCGAAAGTGCTTCTCTCTTTATATGTAGGTATATATTTATACTTGCTAAACTTTAATGTATATATACTTGCTAAACTGTATATAAAAGTATGTATTAATGTATATTTAATATATACTTAATGTTTATATTATATATACATTAGAGTTTAACAAGTATAAGTCTAGCTGTGAATGAAATTAGCAATAGTGTCACTATTATTATTAGGATGGTTCAAAAGTAATTACGATCTTTGCCATTATTTTCAATGGCCAAAACCACAATTACTTTTGCACCAACCTGATACATTAAGGTTTCCAGAAAAAGAAAAGCTAAATGAGGTTAGGGAATCTCCGAGGTCTGTCTGTGACCGGGATTCCCTCTGTCCCTTTGGGACTGGCGATACTATATTCTTGCTTATCTGCACCACTTCTTTCCCTTGGTGTGAAGCTCTTTGGGGAGTTTTTAGATAGTATTTGTTTTATTCATTTGGCAGTAGTAGTTTCTAGACGTGTCTTAAAGTTTGGGCTTCTCTGGGCCTCATTTGTAAAGGGGATGATGATAATAGCATCTACACCATGGAGTGGTATGAAGGTGAAATAAGACTTAATGAGCTTCGATATTCCACACCCTCGATCAGAGATCATGGGCCTAGTCATTGAAAAGTAGCTCAGAGCCTCCCAAGGGCCCCCAGAATCTGCCTCTGTCACCCAGGGGCAGGAGGAAATGGTACCCTGAGATGGAGTGGGTTCTTGTTTCTTCTTTCCTGGCATTCTTTCTTATTTTTCTTCTGACATGAAGGACCCTTTGCCTTGGGTCAAAGGGGTCACTGAAACCTGTAATGACCCTTTTGAGGATTCGGATAAAGTTGGGAGAACTGGGAGGCAGTGGGGTCTGAAAGCATTTTAGGGCAGTCTGAGGTATTCCAGAATCATCTCTGAGCCTAACAGTAGACAGGATTAGACGCAGCAGGCAAAGCCGAGGGCCCAGTTTTGGCTAATGAAAGAGTCCTGCCAGCTGCTTCCTAAGAAGGCCCTCTCAAAGCTGTGGCCTTTCGTTTCTTCTGTCTCTTCTCCTTTTCCTCAAGTGTGAAATCCATCTCTAGATGATAATGCCTATTTATAAAAGCCATCTCTGAAAACACAGTTAATTGTATAGGACTCACATGACTCAGAAGAACATTCAAAATAATGTTTTAAGTATTATTGCCCAAAAAAGGGGGGATGTATCTTGAAATTTTGATCATCTTGGTACCAGAACAAAAGGGGCATAAGCCTATTAGCCCTGAGCTTTATGGTTGCAAGGAGCTGGGGCTGGAATGACCAGGGCACCTAAACTACCAAAATCACTCCTCACCCTCAAGAGGAGGAGGAGGCCTAAGGGTTTCTCTTCACATGTAGGTGCTGAGGCTGAGGGAGGACTCTCGTTTTCCCTTGGAGAGGGCATTGGGCAGGATAGAAGCCCCCAACCTGGTTCAGGTCTGTGCCTGAGGCAGAGCTAGTGCCAGTAGTATGCACGGGTTCATTCATATGATCCTTGCACCCTGGAAGTAAAACACCTTTTCCAATGCAGACAGTGGGGGCATGCAGAGATGAACCACTAAACCCAAGTTAGCCTGACAGATGCAACATCTGAAACCAGGCAGCTGATTCCAAGCCATGCTCTGAGCCAGCTTGGTAGGGAGAATCATATATGAGGGCTCAAAAGGCACTGTGCTCAGGCCTGGGCCCTGGGGAGATGCCCACCCTGGCTGAGCTCCCTGGGGGTGGGAGATGGGGGCGGTGGGATGAGGCTAGGGGGTGGGTGGCACCAAGGATGCCAGCTGGCCCTGGCACTGATTCTGGCTCTGACCGTGGCCTGCTTGCTGTTCTTACAGGGATGGAGGCAATGGCAGCCAGCACTTCCCTGCCTGACCCTGGAGACTTCGACCGGAATGTGCCCCGGATCTGTGGGGTGTGTGGAGATCGAGCCACGGGCTTTCACTTCAATGCTATGACCTGTGAAGGCTGCAAAGGCTTCTTCAGGTGAGGCTTCTTCCCAGGCCCTCCCCAAGGGAAAGGGAGGGAGAAGAAGCAAGGTGTTTCCATGAAGGGAGCCCTTGAATTTTTCACGTCTCCTTCCTTGTAATGTCCATGGAACATGCGGCGCTCACAGCCATAGGAGCAGGAAGGTCTTGGTGAGTGCTTTCTTCTTTTCCCTCCTCTCAGCTCCAGATGTGTCCCCTGACTCACTTGGAAATTGCTTTCCTGAGGTTGCTGTGTGGGTCTCTGTCTTTCCATTACACCTGTGACCCACAGCCCCCTGCACCAACCCATGTGTCCGTCCTTCCAGAGTGAACCTCCTCCCTGTTGATGATCATAGCTTCCTCACTCAAGACACAGGCATGTCTTTGGCAAGAACATGGCTTCAGAGCTTGCTTTTCCATCCAATCCAAACTGTTCCATGGAACATGGGAAATGGCACCTCTTGTCAGGTCGTCATGATCTGTACCCGTGTCTTCACCCAAGGATTGTTTGTCCTGGTCTGAAAGTCAACCTTGGAACACCCAGGCAGTGTCAGGAATATACCTGCGTTCCTGTATCAGGGCCAGTTTCTTTACCAACACACTCCCCTTACATGAGCCCAGGATTACAGGTGTGATAGGTGTGGGAAAAGCACTGGAGGTTCCCATCCAAAGCCAGGGTGGGAGGGTGGGAAAGGGGTGAATTGGGGCAGGAACTGGGAATCATGAGAAATTAGCATGTGGCATGTATTGGAGAGACAGAGACAGTAGCCTGAAAGAAGACAGCCAAAACAGAGCTTCTGTCTAGCAGTCTAGACTGGAGGCGACTATGGCAGGGCTCTAACCATCAAATGAGGAAAGCACAAATCAAGTCCAGAGGAGGATGCTGAGGTCGGCTTGGTTGTCTAAACTGGAGCGCTCTCCTCGCCTTGGGAGCACAGTGAATTCAAGTCCAGGTGCTTGTGTGGGACTCTTACTCAAGGACTTGGGGGCTCTCTGTCAACACAAGCTCCCAATTCACCTGCCCTCTGCCCCAGGAATCAGCAGGCCCAGAGTTTCATGGCCTTGAGCAATTGCTGGGCAGCGGGATTTCTGTGGGTGCTAATTGCCTGTTTGGCCTGGCACTGACTGCCCGCTTGGCTTCCTGGCAACCTACTCCCCAGCTCGGGGAACCAGACAAGCAGCATCGCTGGCTCTAAGTCCTGTTGCTGCATTTGCCAATCCTCGGGCCACAGGTCCACACATCCTGCAGGGTGGGCCTTCTAGAGCCCTGGTTGTGTGTCCCAGGTGACACATGAACCCTTCTCTGCCAGGTCCTGGGACTTGGGGGGCTGCCTTGAGTGCTAAGGAAGGGGGAATCTAATGCACACCTCAGAGCCTGCTTACTACCATGAAACCCATCAGAAAGGCGTGGTCTGGGGTGCTGGCCATGGCAATAATTTATGGGATATCCTTGCTCAAATGGATGTCCTTGACATCTCTAGGCTTTAATTAACTCAACTAATGTCATGCATGTATTGATATCCAGCCCCTCTGCTACATAGTGTTAATCTGAGGATTAATGAGATGACATGTAAAAAAGTGCTTTGAAAAACACTTTTTCAGTCTGATGAAAAAAGCTGAGATTTTTTAGCCTGATGGGCCACTACTACTGCCCTTCATGGAACCATGCTCTCATAAAATAAACAAAAGTCGCGCAGCCAGCCAGCAAGCCAGTCACTTTCCTCGTGTGTGTGTGTGTGTGTGTGTGTGTGTGTGTGTGTGCGTTCAATTTTTTTGCAGTGATGGGGCCTCCCTATGTTGCCCAGGCTGGTCTCAAACTCCTGGGCCCAAACGATCCTTCCGTCTTGGCCTCCCAAAGTTCTACGATTAATGGCGTGAGCCACCATGTCTGACCTTGTGTTTCTTTCACTCATTCCCTCACCAGACTTGAATCAGCATTTATGATCTGGCATTGGGCTAGGAGCTGTCAATATGGAGTTTCTCACCGAAAGTCATATCTTGTCAATCTGCAACCAAAACATTTGGTTATGGAGTCTCTACCCTCAAATCCACTCTCTCCTCCTAGGCCCCCTTCCCCCTGAGATCCAGTTCTGGGAAATGAGAATCTTAGATGGCAGCTGGTTGAGTGGTGACATATTGAACGCCAGTTCCTCACTGGAGTGGCTCTGACTGCTATGCATCTGTAGTTGCTGCCCTTGGACACACCACTAGGCTGGGAATCCTCAGGACAGGAATGTGTGAGGCATCTGGGTGGAGGGAGGACAGGTCCTGTCATGCCCCGGGCTGAGTGTGGAAGATGGCAGAATGAACAAGGATGGTATGTTTGTAGTCTGTGTCACCACAGACTGACAGAGTGACTGTGTTGCTTGTGGGCACATGATGCCACCTTAACCCACCATCAATCCACCTCCACAAGAGCCCTTAGAGTCTGTTGCTGGCTGTTGGTCACAACCACTGCCTGCAATGCCTGGCACTATGGGCTGCAGACTGGTTTTGTCTTGTTACCCTGTCCTCAGTCTACCTTACTTAGATCTTTACTGTCCCTGTCTTGATGACTAAGTCAGGCTGCTACATTCTAAAGGGCCAACATGTCTGTCACTTGCTTGAGGATGTGGATGAAAGAGAATGAGTGGGGTTATCTATAGATTGTCCAAGAGTAATGTTCAGAAACTTGAGGGAAGGTCACTGAAGCTGTCAAGAAAGACAGCTGCAAGATTCTGAATTTTGTTTGATATGTAAATAAACACATGTGCACACACACACACACACACACACACGCAGACAGTCAATCTTCATTATTCATGGATTCTGTATTTACAAATCTGCCCTCTTGCTAAAATTTACCAAAATCAATACTTGCAGCCCCTTTGTGGTCATTTGTGAACATGTGCAGAGCAGTGAAAAACTCGCGTGGCTTGGCACCTATCTTCCCAGCCAGGGTCTTCACAATCTATTTAGTGCTACTTTTTTTGCCTTTTTGTGATTTTTGTTGGTGACTTTGCTGTTTAAAACAGTTCCCAAGTGTAGTGCTGCACTGCTGTCTGGTGTTCCTAAGTGCAAGGCTGTGATGTGCCTTACAGGGAAATTAGGTGTGTTAGACAAGCTTCCTGCAGGCAACATTGCTGCTGGCTGTTTGTTCAATGTTAACAAATCAACAGTATCTATTGAATAAGATGTCGTTAAACAGAAAACTCACATAAGACAAGGTGATGTGTTGATCAGTTGATGAAAATTTTGTGACCAGAGGCTTGCAGAAACCTCACCCTGTGTTTCCCCCAGGAACAATGTTTCAATATTCACTAATCCAGTGTCCACAATGACTTTATAGACCATTACTACCGTGAATAATGAGAATCAGCTATACATACATCATTTCTCCTCTTCTTCCACCCTTGATGCCTGCTTCTCCTTCTTTGCTTCATCCAAATTTTATTTGGAAGTTTTCCATTTTGGTCTGGTCTACATAGTTGCTTGAGAACCCTGTGGTCGCTTACATCTGTTTGTGAAACTCTGATCCCAGGAAGCAAGGACAATATCAGTGGTCTGTACCTTCTCTATGGTGGGCGCTGCATCCTTGCATCCTTGGGAACACAGAGATGACAGCAACTAAGTCCTCGCTCTCAAGGAGCTTGCTTGGCCCTTTCCTGTTAATTATTGATAGACAGCATTGCTTGAATGTTGGGTCACCAGCTGTTTTCCAAGCCCCGGAAACCAGGAATTCAATCCCATTTGACCATCTAGTATTTGGTTTGGCTTCTAAGATAGTTAACTAAACTGCTCTAGGAGCTAGTTGTTATCATCAAAACTAGTCTAAGACTCATAATCTAGCTGAAGTGTGATGATGGTTAGAAGATTAGAGAGGGATCACACTTCTATTGATCTATGATCGGGCATTAGAGGCCATTGCTGGTCAATTCCTTCTGCCAGCTCTTTCATGTTGCTTGTGCTTCTTGATATTCTGGAATACAGGGACATCCTCAGAGAAAGATGATATTTCCAGTGTGAATATAAGGTTGGCACAGGCAGGCTTGTAGATGGCCAGACACCTCTTGGCTATATGTTAACAACTAAAGCATAAGTAAGAGCCAGAGGAGGAAAAACATTTGGAATAGGTCTATTCCAAATGATATATATATAGTGGATAATCCATATATGTATATGCATGTGGGTGAATATGGTCATGGATGGCTTTGTCCGGGATCTGATATAAAGGAAAGGTGTAATGGACAGAGAAGAAAATCAGAGGAACCCCTTTGATGAAGAGAATGAAGGTGGATGGGAAGGTTTAAGAGCTGATCCTGGAAGGCAGGATGAGAAACAGGTCATCGTTTGCCTGCTTATCTTGTCTTCTTCCTCCCTGTTGGGATGCTTTAATCAGGACGCTGTGCAGCTGTGTGCTACAAGCTACAAGCTAACAAAGACAGTGCAGAGAAGTGCGTTTTCGCTTCCTAGCTCCACGAAGACTTTGTTAATTATGGGTCAGGCAGAGTGCAGGGGGCAAAAGGTAGGCTGGCGAGGATCCAGGAACATGAGGAATGTTCTGGCATTCAGGAAGGTCACCCCACTGAAATTTGTGGCTCTTCTAGCAACCTGATGTGAAGGGAAGCAGAGAAATAGGGCAGATGTCCAGGAATTCAAAACCTAAACTGCTTAAAGGAGAGAAAATAGAGAAAAAAGGGAGGAACAGCCACACGGCGTATTCTATGGGCACAAGTAAATGAGTGACCAAGAAGTCAGTGGTGCTGGAGAGACTTTGTCCAGGTCCAGTTTGGCAGCCAGCCTCCATTCACAGATGTTCATGGATGTGAATGAAAGAGAGTGAGTGGGGTGATCTATGGATGGTCCAAGAGTAATGGTTCAGAAGCTTGGGTCGAGGAGGCCAGAATATTTGGAGAGGGAAGGTCACTGAAGCTATCAAGAAAGACAGCTGCAAGGATAGGATTTAACATTACCTTTTTGTCATTCTTTTATTTCTTTTGAAATTCAGCACTCTAATCAGGGCTCATTTGCATGACTTTG